GTTTTTAACCACCTCTCCACATCCCGCTGCTCTCCTCTTCTTTTACGCACCGCATGGAGACAACCGCGCGCCGGACCCGTGAAAAGAGCGGCGCGCCTTATGGATTGAAGACGATCTGACTCATCCCGTTCTCATACACTTCATACGACCCCCCCCCCCCCCCCCCTGTTTAATAAGCCAGTCACCCATCACCATCACCATGAGCGCTGAGTGCAGCAGCTACCACGGCACCGACGGCTCGTTGATGGATGCGTTTTCCTGCCCCAAGCCCGGGAGCGCTGCGTCCGCTGTTTACTGCTGTGGATTCAACGATGTCAAATACTGCTGCGACGATCCCAACAGCTTTTTCCCCTACGACTACAGTTACATGTGGTGGCTGAGGTGAGCAAAGTTGGTCAAAAAAGTTAGTTTTTCTACGTGTATTTTCTGAGGATGAATCTGTAAAAGAAAAAAAAAAAAGAAGAAGAGGTTTTATGTTAGACAGAAAGAATAGAGAAACGAGTGTGTTCTCTGTGTCCTTTTTTTTTTTTTTTTTTTTTTTTTTTTTCCTTTTGGTAAATGTCTTTTATTACACATGTTTTTGTATAGCATTAACATTGCTTTAAACTAGAAATGGTTTGACCAATATTGAAACCCGATAACTGAATTACTTAATCTTTAATAGTTTAGTCCACAAACGAATTGTTTTAATCCATTGTCCGTTGTTTAGGGAGAGGTGATAAAAACCAGGAGTGGAGGACAGGCTGTCCAGTTCACAGACATTGAGACTCTGAGACAGCAGCTCACCACGGTCCCAGGGTACAGGCTCATGTAAAGAATTGCTAACAAACCAAATATTGAGGGGAGGGAAGAGAGTTAGCCCGTACGTTTTTTTTTTTTTTTTTTTTTTTTTTTGCCAGTCTGTCAGTCATCTGATTCAATTAGAGGAAAGTGGGCGGGAATGTGTGTGTGTGTGTCATTGTGTATAAGTCGATCATGAAATCCTCCTGCTCTCCTGCTGTTGCAGCATCGGCGCTCTGGTCGGTCTGTCCATTGCGGCGGTCGTCCTTCTCGCCTTCCTCATCACGGTTTGTGTCCTTTGCTATCTTTTTATCGCCTCCAAACCACGTCGTCTTGACAACGGACTCCCCCTGAGAGTGCCAGGTAACACTATGATGATATATATTACAACAGCTGCGGAGTGGGTGCTCCGTGAACACTATATATATATATATTTGACCAGTATCTGAACCTGGCAGTACTTCCAATGATCTGTTTACGTATTGATCGTCACATTCATGCGGCGAACAAATTGGCGCTAATCAAGTTGTTTGAACTTGTGTGCTTTTCAGACGAAGATCCCAACGAGAACTCTAATCATTTGAGACTGCACAGAGCAACGGGCCCACAAGGGTTTAGGAAACATTTCACTGCGATAACCAGCCCACAGATCCTGAGAGACTGTTCCAGAGATGCTTCATGGCCACGGTGACCAGCGTGAAGGTGGAAAGTCCTTCGTAGACCGTTGAGACGGAGCACGGAGTGTGTGGAAGACGAACCAGCTGAAAGTCTGACAGTCGGGGGACCTGGTGAACCCGGAGGAAGTTGTGTTTTTGGACCACGCCAGGCCAGGGCTACGACCCCTCGCAGGAGCTGATATTAACAGAGCAAAAAAAACCAAAACAAAACCATACAAAACCACCACTGCTTTTTCCCGCTGTGGAACACACACTGCCACACGGAGATGTGTGTTCTGAAATCTTTTTCGCTTTGTAGATATCTTCTGGGACTTTCCCCTCTTCGGCTCTGCGACTACCCTCGCGCTTGTGGCTGCCGGCGTTAAACGGATTCAATTTCGCAGTATTTTGTTTGGATGAAAAATGCTGTAACTGACTGCTTTGCATCGCCGCCGCCTCCACCGCCGCTTATTCACAAGATTCAAGATTCATTCTTATACACTGTTAGAATGCAGGCCCCTCCAACGTTTTATTGAAAATCCTCTTTTGTTTACGACCCCCATGAAGAGCCAACAACAAACAACAACACAACAACAGTGAACCAGTAAAGGCAGCAGACAAAACACAAAAGTGACAGAAATGAAATGGAATCCAAAGTAAAAAAGTAAGTTGGCGAGAGACACGAGTTTGATGTAAATAGGAAGCTCCAGCTCCGTGGTGAAGTGTCGGCCGGGGGGGGGCTTTTCAAGAGACTAATCGCTGAAAGATGAAAGCCGTATCGGCGGAGTACTTTGGGTACACGCAGAGCCGTAATCTGTGGAGAGACGGCACACATTAAAAGGGCAGACTACTTCAAGTGCTTGCGAGGATGATGTGGAGGTCGAGGAAAACAGCGTCAGCAGAGAACACAACAACAACAACAACAACAACAAAAACCCCAGTGCAGGGTTTGTGGTCGTTGTTGTCATTGCAACTTTTTTTTACTCAGGGACCGAGAGCAACGGTGACGTCTCGATGTGATTCAGTTAAAAAAAAACAAATACGTAGCTAACTGTTATCTCCAATAGGAATAATCACAGATGCAGGGAGAACGACGTGTATTGTGCAGCAAACGGACTAACCAAAAACAGACCCGACGACAGCCTTGCATACTCTCTCTCTCTCTCTCTCTATATATATATTTTTCCTTTTTTTTTTTTTTTTATATAACCACTGACCCTGAAGCTCGGCTCTAAAGCTGTCCACATCTTATAAGCAGGAAAAACAGAGTCTCGGCTCTAAAGCTGTCCACATCTTATTTTTATCATTTCTTACTTATCGTCTGGTTTCATTGTTGTTGTTGTTCAGTGTGAAATATACTTGTGAGGTTGGAGCGAGCGGAAGAAAAGACGTTCACTCCAGAGCTGCTTGAATGCAACCCAAGAGGTTTCCAAGTTGTTATTATTTTCTAGGTCACCAATACGATTCGTAAGTCATGTATGGAAGTTTCTAAATTGGGCCACATGCTAGAAGTGGCCCAATGTTGGTTTGTGTTCTTGGCCCAGAGCAGTAGTTCTTAATTATTTTCTGTCATGCGCCCCCCAGTGGACAGAATCGTTTTTTCATGCCCCTCCAACCAACGTGAATTGAAATGCAATTGAAAATCGAATAATATTTTATTTATCTGTATTTTTGTATATTCTTATCTGTACAAACACACAGCACTGTTGTGAGTTGCTGCCACCTAGCTGTCTCTGACAGCTTTTTTTTTTCTTTCTTTCTTTGAATAGTAGATCGCTGAATGTAGCTTTGTTTCCGACGTGTTCATCACAGCTGCCGAACCGACGTTTTTGTACAGGTTGTTTTAATGTGACGTTGTTCTTCAAACACCACACAGTCGTTAATCAAACAAACATGTTTTTTTAAAGCACGAATTAAGAAAAGATTTATCAAGAAACCGCCCATATATGCAGCTTGCAAATAGCTCAAATGAACCTTTTGCACACACATTCTCATTTGATGTTTTATTGTCTTTTTAGTTATTTACAATATATTATATTTATATATTTTGTATATAGTTTTTTCCCCTTTAGATAAATGTATGCTCCATGAAATGTGAAAAGAGAAGACAGTATCAAATTGCACGACCTACGTTAAAAGAAGCACACATTTTCTCTAAACCAGTGGGTCGCAATTATTTTCTGTCATGTGTCCCCCCCTAGAGGACAGAATATTTTTCGCCCCGATCCCTCCCCGAATTAAAACACTATTGCGAACATACAAAATATGTATTTTCTTATCTGCACAAACCACTGTATGAGTTGCTGCCACCTAGTGGCTGGAGCCTTGTTGAACGTTGAAGCATTGAAAGCCTCTCATATACCCGTCCGCTGCCCAACTTTTTGCAAAGCACTGCTCTAAACCGTTAACATAACGCGTGTCTGGTGAGCCATAAGTCATTCTGTGTAGAAGCAGTTTTGAAAAATCACCAGTGGGAGAAACAAAACTTCACAGTCTTAAATCACGCGGTCCGTGGTACTTGTCGTGTGCTTTCAGCCTTGCAGTAGTCGTCCCTTATGTCGACACCAATCTTTTGATGATGAATGATGCAATTCTTTTTTCTTTTTTTTTTTTGTGAATTGCGAGGAACACACAAAGCAAAAATTGAAATGCTGCAGCACACAGGAGATTAATGGAAGCGTATTGATGCCAAACTGAGAAAAAAAGAAGGGTTCAGTATCACGTAATTACGTGATATGTGATAAGTTTGACGTTATTATAACAATTATCAGTTTTATCGGGTGGACTTTCATTCATTCATTCATTCATTCAGTCTCAGTGGCTGAAAGAATAACCGGCCAAACAGGACGATAGATTTATAAAATAAGCTAAAATGCTGCCATCTAGTGACTTTCACTTTGATATACAGCCGTTTATCCCCAAAACTTTTTTTTAGAGCACACCTCATTTGGGGAAACCCAGGCGTTGCGTTATCGCGTTTTCATTATCAGAGGGAAAAACCGAGCTTGTAACTCGTAAGCTCGTTATTTATTTATTTAATTTTTTAAAAAAATGTTTTATTTGTATTCTTTCTATAGCGGGCACCACGCTCATTTAATTTTTTTTGGTTTTTTTTCGATTTGTATTCTTTCTTTAGCGGGCACCATGCTCATATTTATCGACAATTTCCTGCTTTATTTCCATGGTCATCATTCGTTTCTTCTTCTCACTACCATCCTTACCGCTCACTATCTTAGGACTCGTAAGTATTATGAAGAATAATGCACAAAATCACGTAGTTAATGCTAGGTACGGAAGCGATGCTTACGGAAGACACCGAACTCGTGAAGTGAACGAGTCAGGCAGCGTAGGCTGCTCCGAGTGCTCGGCCACCTAGCGTCGGCGTCTGTAAGCGTGCTCGTATCTCAAATCTTTACTTGTATCTAGAAGCAAAAATTTGCTCGAAGGCTTGCTCGTATCTCGAACTACTCGTATGTCGGTACGCTCGAGGTTCCACTGTATTACGTAATTATGCTAATATCGGTCGGGCGATATTATCCGACATCCCTAGCTGATTGTCCACTCGAGGATTGTCCTCGACCGTAGCAGCTTCCGAATATTGTTATAACAATAAGATTTCCATGTAATTACGTGATACTGCACCCCCTTTTTGTTCTAACTGTGGCAGCGATACATTTCCATATTACACTGCTGTATTCTTTCGTGGCTCTTTTGCCGGTGTTTTCCCCCATATTTGTGCAGCTTGTAAAAAAATCCTTCAGTTCCATTTGTCAAATTCTTAAACTGTGTTTCTGCTCATTTACATGCACATCTTTCTACTGAATGTCAGCGCAGTATGTGCGCAGATTACAGATAACTGTAGTATTCATGTACAGTTCAATAAATCAAGCCCGGGGCTGTAATTCATTCCTCAATGGATGTGCGTCTCATGATTTGAGATGTATTGAAAATGCACTTTGAGGTTTTTTTTTTTTTGCTCCCACCACAGCATCGCACGCGTTGAATCAAAAGCCTGTTTTCAATGATCTGCCGGAACTCCCAAATGTCAGAGCTGAAACGCATTAGATAAATTGAGACATTTACTGTTGAAACCCATTTTTGGGGCAGTATTTGCTATTGAAAAATGAGTTATTATGACATTAAGAGTTTTCGAAATTATTACCGATGTCAAATACGTCAGTGAAACCAGACATCATTGCTGTACTTAACCTGGGGCTCAAAACCATACGCACTGTGATGATTGAAACAAACGCACCTAAACGACCTCTACCCATGTACACTCTTACTGACTCTCAATACACCGGTGGGAGTACTGCTTAATCCGTTGCTATAGTTACGCCTGACAGTTGTGATCCAAACCTAAAATTGCATTATAAATAAGCAGGGCACGGTTTACCAAATAGAGACAAGAGAAATGAATGGGAGGAAATTGGATTCTGCCAAACAGCTGTTGTAAGATTACATTTACATCTTACATCTAGTTTTCAGCCTTTGCCATGGCTAAAAATGAGTTTTGCTCCTCAACAGTAGGTGGTGATAGTACCCCCTGTAACGTTGACGACATTTCACGTCGTAGAAGAGGACACATAAACTCGATTTACATATGCTAATTGAGCAGAGACAGCAAAGGCCTCGGTGGTACTTTGTCATACGAAGTAGTCAAAAGACAAAAGTTGTCCCAGAGAGCTGAAAATAGCCTCAGAAAAGTCAAAGTTTATTTCCAAGGCTATTTCATATTCATTTTATTCAGGCTTGACAAATAGCCTATTATAAAAGCTATTATTAAGCTAAGTGTTACGAATCTCTGTAGAGATTAATTTGGTTTGGACTCAGAAGCGGAACACGGCGGGGAGTTCAGAGGCTAGGTACAATATTTTCATTAGAAATGTAGAAAGGTTTGTCGAATGTTCAAAGGTCTAGAGCACAGAGGAGGTTCCAGCCACCGAGGCAGGAGTTCAGGGAGAGGGGGAGGAGGAGGAGGAGTGAGCTGTCGGTACGAGGCAGGGCAGCCAAGTAAACCCCAAAAATCCAAACGACACACACAGAGTCAGTGGAAAAAAACAAACAGCTTGAAGCAGTTACCGTAGAAAACCACTCGACTGGGGATGGCGATCCGACACTGAATCCCTGTGGAGCTAGCGTATAAGCACTCCCTCTGCTGCTGATGAGTAAACTGGCCACTGGGGCGCTGGGCTCATCAGCAGCAACTCAGTGCCGGCTGTGAAGAGAGACAAAGTTGCACACAGACACTAAAAAAAGTCGCAGTTTGACACCTATGCTCTAAGTAAAGATTGGTAAAAATGGTGAGAAAAATTGTGGATTTAAGGCAAATTTAACTCTCTAGACCAGTTGTTACGTTAAATATTTTTACATTGAAATAAACGACTTCTGATTGGTGAAACGCAGCTAGCTAGTTTTAAAGTGAGAACTTTCCCCCGTCCTGATTGAACCAACCTCCCACTTGTATTTAAAATGCTAATGTTTTGCTTGAGACATACTGTGCTGCTTTCAATTAAACATCTGTTATGTGGCAAATCTCTTCATTAGACCTAAGTGTAGCTACGAGAAATAATTGAGCAAGACGGCGGCTTAACTGCTGAGCATTTCCGGATGGAACAATAGAGTCAGAACAATCAATATCAATATGTTTTCAGCCCAAACGGCAGGTGGAGAAGCTACACGGTGGTTGCACAGCAACCGTATCACTATAAACCGAGTGATTGAAGCGGCGGTGTTGAAGTGAGGATGACCACATGACACTGAAGTAACAACCTCCCACGGTTTTCTCAATACGGGATGGGTTTTTACCAGGACCGCCTTGTCAAAGGTTAAAGGTGAAAGGTCATGAAGGTCAGGTTATCATTCACCATCTCACCATCTAGAAACCGCAGCAATGCTGTGGTTAGAACAGGAGTGGGCAAACCTTTTGATTCGCTGGGTCCTATAATTTGATTTCTACGCCATCTGTTGGTGGGAAAAAATTAATAAGATCATTTGGACAGGTTTGGCGGGCTGGATTAAAAAGCCAATTGGCCCCTTGTTTGATCCTGCCTGGGTTGGGCCGAGGTTTTGGTGACCACAGAGACTTTTGTAACTAGCTGATGAATAGCGGATACAAAGATAATAAATAGATAAATAGGGTTAAAAAAAAAGATTGGATGTTTTTTTTTTTTCGATATTCATCTTCAATTTGAGGAAATGAAAGTCTCTGTCACACTGGATTATAATTTGAGAAAATGAAAGTCTCTGTCACACTGGATTATTCCGGCAAAATAATATCCTTAAAATATCCATTCGTCTGCAGTTATGAATGACATCGGTGGCACGGCACCAGATAGACGATGACAGCTGTCAGATGAAAATAATTGGCTTCGCAACATGCACAAAACATGGCAGTAATGGTTTGAACCGTGAGCTGAACACGAGGCGCCACCAGAGCTCGGCGGCACGACCGTCATCTCTGTGATGCTGATGTCACCCGAGGAGAAAAATTTCAATCGTAGACGTGTCACATGCCCATTGTTTTCCCATCATAGTCAAAGATCTGCTAACGATGAGCACGTTAGTGGTTCCATAGATAGCGGTTAGCACGCCTGCCTTGCATAGCAAAGAGCAGAGAGTCCTAGGTTCAATTCCCTATTGTGGGACTCAATCATTATACAGTAAGGGCAGTGGTGATTAAGGAAGCAGCCTTGTTTCTGGAAGGTCGTAGGTTCGATTCCAGCAGTCACTGGTGCACAGGCCAAGGCGCACACTGCTCAGCTCAGCTTCGCAGCGGTGACAAGAGCTCACTTTCATTATCCTTGTCAGCTCCACCGTGCCAACAGTGCCACCATCTGGTCCTCACAGCACAGTGGTTTGATGCCAATCAGACCACAGTCCATTCAACGCTTTGCCTTTCAGCTCAGGAATTGGGAGCCAACGTTTCACTGACCATAGTCCTAGGTCTGTGTTCATGAATAAAAAGGAGGACGTAAGGATTCTCAGTTAATGTAAAACCGCAGGTAAAACTTGTTACTAAGTTACTCATTAACGTTGTGCTTGTCACAAGAATATGGTGCAGGAAATGAGAGGTCACGGCTTTTCCTGCGACCTTTGCTCGGAAAGACTCTTCAGAAGACGGCAGCTGAAAACTCAGGACGAAGGCAGAGGCAGCTGCATGTGAGTGATCCGATGGGTTTTTTTTTCTTTCTTCCACTCGTTTTAGATTGTGATTTTAGCTATCTACTGGATTCAGAAAATCTTAACGCTCATGCTTTACGTGTACCTGCTGTTTGGCGCTAAATACCTACAGCTAGAACGTAACTTTAAATGCGTAATATCAGAGTTAGGATGACCCACATGTGTCAGTATTGTGTGTACAGTTGATAGATCAGCAGTTTACTGTCATCATAGCTATCATGTGACGGTTGCGGTAAAAGTATCACGTGAATTTACGTTAATTGCTGACGGTGGTTTGGAATAGTCCTTAAATGATTGGTTTACTGTTTGTTTTTTTTAGTTTTTTCTTCGTTCTGAACGTATACTTCACCCAAGTGCACTTGGTCATTTTCTCAAAAATAGAAAGGCTTACAGTTTTCAAAGACACACACTGATGTAATATTGATTGAAATTCCATTTAAGGCCGGATTTGGAACATGGGTATTTATCAGAGGTCCAGAATTTTTTTTTTTTTGGACAGACTCAGTCGTAAATGGTGCGATTTTTGTTACCGTGAACGTGATCAAACAATATTTCTACACTGATCTTTGTTGGAATCCAGTCACAGCCGGAGTGGAGCTTTAATAATCATTGATTTAGATCACGATTTAGAAGACCTTCTGAACACTTGAAGACTTGATGGTTATCTGAAAAATGATTTTGTTGATATTATTTTTTTCACAGGTAAACAGCTCGAGATGGATCACTGGAGTTGGTGCTTTGTGCTGTGTTTTCTCTGTGGGAGTTTTATCAGAGAAACACGTACTGCATACATATATGAAGAACACAGAGGCTCCCAGAGGCATCTTCTGGTGGAGGAAGACAAAGCCATAGGAAATTTAACTGAGGGTGAGTACTGTATTTTTCGGATTATAAATCGCTCCGGAGTGTAAGTCGCAACAGCCGAAAAATGCATAACGAAGAGGAGAAAAAAAACCCCATATATAAGTCACTCCGGAGTATGAGTCGCACCAGACGGCTAGAGTGCCCTCTAGCGGCTGGAAAATACAGTATAAGGCTCTGGTTTTTCTGTGATAATCTCCATCTCCATTTTTTCCACGTGCAGCTGGCGGAGTGAAGGAAAAGCCTCCCCTAGAGTGGTCTTATTTGGCCGCAGCGCTCGGTACAATCCTCGCCCTCTCTCTGGTCATCATCGGGGTGGTCAAGTTCCGGGTCTTTCACCGCTTCCTGGCCACTTACAGACACTCCCTCCTCCTGGAGAGCGATGGAATCAGCCAGTACGGCCAAGAGGACGTGCCCTTTCCTAACAGTGTGTCAGGGAGAGTAGGCATGCAGAGAGGAACGGTGAGCGAGCTGGACGACGACGACGACGACGACGGCTTCATTGAGGACAACTACATCCAGACCAGCGAGAAACACAGAGCAGAGAGGGAGAGGGCCGGGGGTGAACACGGGGAGGAGGAGGAGATGGAAGACAGCGACGATGATCTACAGTTCACCATAGGCTGAAGAGAAATTAGGCTACAATTCACATTCACATTTCTGTCACTGGTTCTAAACCAGAATTTACTAGTTCATCTCATATATGCTGTTTAAACTTTACCTTGATGTTTCTTTGAATTCCTCCTAATTAATCATGTGATTCAACATGAGTAAAAAAAAAAAGGGCAAGTCTAATGGATTTTTTCTGGCGGTTTAATGTTTAAAGTTTAAATATAAAACATTGGAACTGGGCCTGCGTTTAATTAAGAGACCTGTATTTAAAAAAAAAGGAAAGGTCTTGAGATGTCAAATGTTAATATTGTACACACGTTCTTTTCACTTTCACTTTCATTACGTTGAATCTGTAAATATTTTGATCAACATGTATAATAAACCTTTTTTTGTTATTCGACACCTGCAGCGGGTCCTGGACGTACGTCGGAGTTTTTTCGTTCCTACGGTGCAACGTCACTCCATTTGTACCGTAAATCAGAACTCATGGAATGTAAACAAAGCTGTTTTCCACGTACTACTAGTTGTGCGACATTTGTTCGAAGGCTTACGTCGGAATGATGGAACACGACTTGCATAAATTCAAATATATAAAAATATATACATACTTCAATAATAAATGTTTTGTTACTACAGTTACACCCTCCCCCCCCCCGCCCATTGGCAGTAGGACGATTGTGTTGTTTACTGTACACTGGGAAATGCAATGTCATGCAGTAAATGATCATGTGACCATGATGACACGTGACAGTGGTGCTTGTGAAAAGGTTGTAGGGTTAGGGTCCGTAGTTAACAGGCATCAACAGGTTCTCTCGTGGGTCAGAACAGACCTTTGTACAAGACAAAAAAGAAAAGAAAAAAAATCAAAAAATCAAAGATCAGATTCACATACAGGCAAAGAAAATAAAATAAAATAAAATAAATGTCCCGCAGAATGACTGTTGTCATGGGTCAAGTTAACTTTGGACTTTGGAGTATTGTCTTGTCAGCGACTTTGAAATGTCCTACTGCTTGGGGGTGACCCATTGGGGGTGACCAATGAGTCGCCAGGGAAGTGCTGGTAGAGTATTTAAAGTAACTAAATACATATAATTCTATTGTGTGTTGGATGGATACTAAATAAATATAATTCTATTGTGTGTTGGATGGATGGATGGATGGATGGATGTGTGTTGTTGGAGTGACCATACACTGAATACTGATACTAGAAATGAATTATACAGTTTCATGCATTTTACTCAGTACCCAACATATAATGTACACGTGTCAAACTCAGGCCCGGGGCCCAAATCTGGCCCGCAGTGTAATTATATTTGGCCCACGAGATCATACCAAATATGTACCAGAGTTGGCCCGCCAGTATACAGCCCCTATTGTTTTAGTATTAGCGGTGTATGTGCTACGTCATTGTTTCCCAAAGAGTGGGTCGCGACCCTCAGGTGGGTATCTAAAAGTTACATTGTGTTCAAATTTGCCAATTTTCTCTTTTGAGGGATTCAGAGAAGACTAGTTCTGGCCAAGAATGTCTCTCTCCTGGATGGAGTCGTCTGTCTTCGTGCCATGTTATAAACCCCGACAGCTCGGTTTTCCATACGCCTCGATCTGCTGATTATCACCATCGTCGTCCTCCTCCTCCTCTGCTCTCTTCTCCACTTCAGGTATTCCAACGCACTGTAACCACCGACAGACAGAGCCATGACAGATCCGCCAGCCAAAAGCAGAAGACCGGAGACCAACATGTCTCTTCCGTCGTGACTTTCGCGGCCGACGGTGGCGACGCAGATCAGCGCCGTCCCACAGATCATCACTGCTAACCCCACGGTCAGGATCAACGCCGGGTCGGCCCTCCCTCCACTCTTCAGCTGTTCGATTCTACGCCGACTGCGCACGCAGTTCATGTCTTGGATCGCAGAGCTGAGGAGCTGCTTCAGCAAAACAGCCAGCGCCAGAAGGCAGAGAGTGGTCCCTACTCCGAGTCGCCACTCTCCGGACAGGCTGGTGGACGTGGATAGCAGACCCACCCCGCCGAGACCTAGAGCCATTATGAGTACAACTGAGACACAGTAGCACAACAAGGAGCGACGTGGCTGCCTGGACCACCACAGCTCCACCTGGTCGTCCAAAACATGTCTCTGCATCACAGCGGGCCGCAGGTAAAAGCTCGGGGGCTGATGCAGGGTGCGATAGAGGGTCTGCATCTCAGTCATGGCAGGGAAGCAGCTCCAGTCACATGTAAAAACAGAAAAAAAAAAGATAATTTTACATCAAGAGCCTAGCTGAAAAGATGGAAAAGAAAATATGATCATTTTACATCAAGAGCCTAGCTGAAAAGTACTCCACTACTGTATTACAATAAGTAGTAATCAATGGACAGAAGGATAAGGACAGCTTATACATACTATTAAAATAACTAAAAAGCAGTTTCTCTTCACATTCTCAGTTCATATCCAAACACTTCTCCAACGGTGTTTCCTCCATCAGTTGAATTTTGTGGAATATCTTTCACAAAGAAAATGCAACCTGCTTCTTCACCGCCTCTAAGGAAGAGTTCTCAAACTCTCAAAATAAGCCGAAAGCCACTGCTCCCACTGTCATTTCACAAGGAACTCCATCAAGTATTGATGCTCAGTAAAAAAAAAGGGCCTTAAAGTTTTTAGAAAAAAGTTTTTTTGTTTATCCCTACAGTATATTTGTCTATATATATATATATAAAACTATATATATATACTGTTATGTAATAAAAAAACAATTAGTACAATCAATAAATGAACAAAAGAATTGAATTTTTTTTAAATGTCACAACAGCAAAATTAAATCATCATAAAAAAAATAAACATTCATTAATCATAACATCTTTTCATTCAGGTTTTATTAAATATTTGATGTTTACTCTTTAAAAATGTTCTCTTCGGTGAAAGTAGTTAGTATTTAACAAAGTTTAATATAATTATAAACTGGCTCAATAAAAAGAGGAGAAAATTGTTACATCTTTCCTACAACGTTTTGACCTTCACTCACATATGAAATTAGGGAAATTAAAAATGAACAGGACAGTGTGTAAGGAGGTCATTCATTTAACTTATTAACATTCCCAACCTGCAGATAGAATTACAATTACAATCACTAACAATATGTCTTCCATTCAATGACATTTAAATCTTACTCATGATATCAGCGACTGAGAAAAATACTCACCTTTTTCTTTAAATGCGCTCCATTGCTGCCCTTTCGTTTGCATTCGATCCAACAACACAATTGAAGATTCTGTAAAAAACGTTACTGCTGAAGAACCCTTGGTTTTTCTTGGGATTGATCCAGAGAATTGAGTAAAAAGAATCACTTAACGTCCGAAATAATCCAGTTATACAGTTAAAACGGCTCTTATCTGAGGGCAGTGACATGACTAAGACCATCCACTACATCATGGTGATACATCAATAAACTCTTGTCCTCTCACACTGAGTCCTGGTGCCAGGCAGGAGCACGGACACCACTACCACATCTCCCGCTCATTCTCCGACTCTCATCACTTAGGAACACAGAGTCGTCTGGTTAACTGTGGGAAATGGACAGGTCACAGTAGCATAGCAGCAGACATTGTCCATGATGTCGTCACACACCGGTTAGGACAATGCGCCTGCTGCGAGGGGATGGCGGTGGTGTGTAGTGGGATGTGTAGGGGCTGCCTTGTTACATCTGATTGAGAGCTGAGTGATGTCAGCGTGAACTGATAATGCTGCATCTGTGACTCTGAGGATGCGGTCATTCACACGCTCTGGTCAGTCTCTGGCACAGCTACAGCTTTCACTTTTTCTTTTTTTTAAACTAAATCCTCAGTGTCTTTGAGCAGTGTCTCTCAGTTACACAGAGTGCCTTTGAGCAGTGTCTCTCAGTTACACAGAAAATGAGGCATAAAATACTAAATATGGAAAATGAAGTGTTTACAACACAAACATAACATAGAGTAATGAAGAGATTTGTAGTTGACTGACTTATAAATGTATATTTATTAGGAATATAACCATTATATCTGTTTATTGTTATTAAAAGTTTAATTCTTCCAGTTGTTATACTTAACAAAAGGTCAATTCCAGGGTTCACTGTTTAAATGTTAAGTGTGGTGCGGAGCAAGAGCTGCCACTAGGGTGTGCGCGAGATACAAATGTAATGGCGGTTTGTTGTTGTTTTTTTTTTCCACACAATAAAGACGTGAAAATGTCTTGTTTTTTTTCCCCCACACAATAAAGACGTGAAAATGTCTTTTGTAAAATACAACAACGTTTATTTTTATAACGTAAAATAATATTGATATTTTAATAAATAAGTACGTTTTTTGGGTTAATTTTTCTTTGGGATATAAAAAAAAAAAAAGTTTGGGACCCGCTATGCTAAAGTGTCAACTTCTATGAGTTTGGGGCACGCTATGCTAAAGTGTCAACTTCTATGATTCTCGTGAACACTTCCGGGAGTACAGCCGTGGCGGAAGTTGACTAGTCGGTAACAGGACTGTAGGGACAAACAACTATTTACACTACAAATACGGTCATGGGAGAACATACAACTACATTCACTGAGACAGTCGATACCAAAGGTGCTTCAACTGTTTTCAAAAGTATTCATGGTGTAAAGCAGGAGTACTAACCACTTTTTCCCCTTCAGCCCTTAATAGATGTGTGGTGTGTATGCGCTGGAGGCTAGTATGTGACATGGTATGTATGCATTTAGTTATTTGGATTTGTACATGTATTTTTGTTTTATTATGTATCATTTATCAATATTTCTTTACATGAAATTTATTTAACACATTTGCAGTTGCCCAAAGCTGCACTGTAACTCTCGGCCTGACTTGTAAAAAAAGATTTCTAAACTTAATTGATGACCATTTAGTTTAATGTAAAGGTATTATTATATGTATTATGAAATTATAATAGAAATTATCTATTATCACTGCCAACCTATACTTGTATTTTTTATTAATTAATTAATATCAAGACGAATTAATTCCATGATTGCAAATATAGATTCTGCTTTGATAATTGATTAGGGAAGTATTATGCTGACAGAAAATGCAATACCTCCCCCTGGTGGTCACTTTTATCTACAAGCTAATCGCTGTAAATACGGTATGAGGAGCACGGAGCACTGATTCTGCCTTTTACATCTTTGACTTGTTAGAGAAAAAACAACTTAAAAAGAAAAAAAACAAACGAACAAACTCATATTATTAGTTAAAACTGATGGTGAATAAATAGTTGTAAAATAAATACTTTGGAACCATGAGTCCGCATTATCATGCGGACTCCCCACCGACTTCTCATTCCTTAAATATTAGCAAGACGTGTAATATTTAATATGACTTCTAGGGGGCAGCAGCCTCTGTATTTTGACAGTTAATGTTACAGTGTTGAAAACAAGTTCAGAACCTTAACACGTGATTTACCAAGACTAGACTTCAACGTTCTGTTGTCTAATGTCCAAACTTCAATTCTTAATTTGTTAAAAAAAATTAAAACTACTTTTTTTTTTTAATTGAATATAGTTAAATCTTTCAGTTTCTATTTGTCCTGGAAAACCTTTTTTTTCGAATATAGTTAAATCTTTCAGTTGCTATTTGTCCTGGAAAACCTTTTTTTTCATGTCACGTCTCTGATAAATTGTTGTCTAGCCACTCGCCTTGTCCAGTCCACGATAAGGAGACTTGGCTGCTCTCACATGCAGGTGTAACAGGATCCAACATGGATGAACTATTTTGGGCTTAATGACCCGGAGCATCAATTTCCCAGGTTTCTCCTACCAGATGGGTGGGTAAACTGGAAAAGGACTCACTGAGCAAATGTGGTTCTTCATGCTTCAACAGCAGCTGTTTAGGTGTATCTTGAACATGCTCCTTAAAGCTAATTACTTAGGTGCTGAGGGGGGGCCACTAGGGGATAGTTGCACTGTTAGTGAACCATGGTGCTCTATCAATGAAGTGCACAGCTGCAGAATAAGTGACAGCGGAGGAACGGAAGCAGTTTGGTTACTCAGCAAAAGTTCCCCGAAGTTGTAGCAAATACAAAAAATCAAAAGCGCAGCAGTCACACTATCGGCACCAACACAGATGTGCTTTAAACCTTCCCCATAAGACGTGCTCCGGGTTGACTTTTTCCCTGTCACAATGTGAAAAAAAAAAAAATCAAAGGCATTATGAGATAAGGAATTTCCAAGTATCAGCTATAGTTTATTTTAGGAAAGCCCCCGTGCTGCAGAGCCATATTGACCCATCTTGATTTTTCTAGAGCTACGTGCAAAAATTGGCATGAGTTTGAACAAAGAACCCTGGACACCAGTGATGACCAGCTGCCTTTTGCCCATAAACCACAAGTCCATCAAATTGTACATTGATACATATACCCTATTGTAAATATCAAATGCAAACATTCGCCCAAATAAGCAAATAATCAACACAGTTCTTGTCATATATAAAAAAACTTAGTAAACTGATTTTTGATGATTTTTCTGCATTCTTCCTGTAGCTATATCAGAGTTGTTTCAATCGTTTCAATTTGACTTGTATTGCAGGATAATACAACGCAGCTAGATGTCAAGTGGGCCAGACAAGTAAGCGTGACTTTGTTTTCACGTAAAGAAGTACATTCGATATTTATCCTTATTTATTCATATTTATTGAATTTTTTTTTCTAAACGTGAAGTGTGTATTTTTTTAAATTTTCATTATTTTGAACACCCTAGCGGTGTCTTTACACGTCTGATTTAAGGTACATGGCCAGTTAATACAAAAATGTGTTATTCAATCAACCTGTTAATGTTTTTTAACCTGATTTTTTTTTAAATAAAAAAATACATTTCGGTTCAATATCCCTTAATTTGGGTCATATATTTTAGCAACGCACAGTAGGTTCAAAAGGCCAGTAGATCTGGCAACCGAGATCTGAGCAGCCCTACGATGGTACACATATATTCAATCTGTTTAGTACTGACTTTGTTTGACAATCCGCTCTGACGTACTGTACTGTACTGTACTGTACGGACTCCGCATGTAATCCTCAGAGGGACTAAAAGCATTTTCATTTATTCATGAGTCATTCCTTGCAGCAAATTGAGTGTAAACTAAATCCAGTTTGCGTTAGCCCTGAGAGGTTGACAATCAGACAAACCAGAAAACCTTTTACACACAACAACAATTTATAGTGCGTTACTTACGCAAACTGCCGCGAGCGCTGGCGACGCAGCTCATACAGCATGTAGGAACTCGTACTTGTGGTAATAGTTGATTTTATGTAGCTTTTAGCAGTTTGCTCAAAACGACTCAATACTCCGTGATTGGATGGTGGGTGAGCTAAGCTAAATGAGCTAATTACTTTGTGAATCTCAGGTCGTTTGCCTGATAATGTTTGTGCTGGACTGCGCATGTAATCCTCAGAGGGACTAAAAGCATTTTCATTTATTCATGAGTCATTCCTTGCAGCAAATTGAGTGTAAACTAAATCCAGTTTGCGTTAGCCCTGAGAGGTTGACAATCAGACAAACCAGAAAACCTTTTACACACAACAACAATTTATAGTGCGTTACTTACGCAAACTGCCGCGAGCGCTGGCGACGCAGCTCATACAGCATGTAGGAACTCGTACTTGTGGTAATAGTTGATTTTATGTAGCTTTTAGCAGTTTGCTCAAAACGACTCAATACTCCGTGATTGGATGGTGGGTGAGCTAAGCTAAATGAGCTAATTACTTTGTGAATCTCAGGTCGTTTGCCTGATAATGTTTGTGCTGATTTGTTTTCCCACCTTTGCTTCACTCTAACCCTTTTGTTGAAATTTGGCAGGTGCAATTTATTTTCGATCAACGAAATCAAAGAAAGTCAGAGCCTCTGCAGTGGAATGGCGACGGACTGAGTTTGTAAGTTTTTCTTTTTTTTTTATTTCAAATTGGAACTCACTGTTTGTCCCTTTCAGAGAGGACGAGTGGGTGGGGGATTCTAAAATAAAATGATGTGTTTTTTTGTTTTGTTTTTTAGATTAAATCAACGTCAGAAATGTCAAATTATTTTCAAGAGAGGCGAGAAGCTAATGTTAACGTGCTCATAAGTCCGTAACATACATGTCAAACATATATAGTGCCGTACTGTTTTTTACTATTTATAGTAGTGCTGATTAGTAGTATTTATAGTACAAAATGGTAACGAGAATAAACAGGAATTTTAATTTAATTTAATTTATGATGAATACTTAAAATTGGGTTTTTTTCTATTTAATTTTTCCTAATTGTTTATTTCAATTTTTAAAAAGTTTTTAGTTCCCTATTGCCAGATTAAATGTATATGGTAAAGTATATACGTAACATTTTTTTAAGTAAATGTTTATAGAAAGAAAATATTTTTACAAACGGACAAACACAATGTAAAACAAAAGCAGGAAATTAGCGCACCGCTACATGAATACTAGTTATTTTATAACACTCCCTAAGGCAAAATAGAAGTGGGTTGTTATCTGTCAACAACACGAGGGGGGAGACAGCCAGTGAGGTAATTAATGTTTACTTAGACTAAATGCTAACATCAAAGTAATCACGAAGTAACAAACAAAATTACTAACCACTGCACAACCTTCTAGGTTCGTCCTTGGCCCAAACATGGTCTTGGACCACGGTTTGTTGTCAGGTGTCCTGTCAGTTTACCATACTTGACACGATTGCATACTTAACATACTAAACAATAACTAAACAGAATTGCGCATTCACACCAAACCCTCGATGCACATGTGCTGTTTTTTCTCTCACTCCTCATCCGTTGCCATGGGTATGTGACGTGACCGCAGGTCTTCCTCCCGATAGAGGTGATCGGAGCATGTATTGGCTCATTACATCCCCTTCGGAACAGTGCTGTTAAGCAGGTGCGTACAGTAAACAATCTGGTGGTTGAATCCTTTATTTTTGACCAATTAATTTCGACATCAGTGATACATTATAATTAGCATAAATCGTATCATGATAACACAAAGCCTCTCAAATCTAATTTATCTAGAGCTTAGTCTTTAAGAGCCTGGTTGCTGATTCTAACAGACTCCATTTTTTATTCCATTCTATACCTCTTCAACCTGCAATGTTGTTTGTTTGTTTTTTTTTCTCTTGTAGCCCCGCTGCTCCTTCAATTATTTGTTATGGTTGCTAGGCAACCAGATGCAATCTACAGTACCCTGACCCCGTCCTGCCCCCCCACTGCCTCGATCTGATAGGCTGTAAATATTAGGACAACAACGTTACGTACGTGAGCCACTGTGTCTTTGTCCATCTCTAGATTATAAGGAGGATTATGCTATCACTCAGATTATGACCGTTTAAATGACTGCTCTGCTGGCTGCGTACGCTGTGACCTACTTTTTTTTTTCTCTCACCGTAGCCTGGAGTCTATAGTCCCTGTGACTACTGATGCTCTTTTTTTTTCTTTTTTTCTTTTGCTTCATTGTGATAGTAAAATATCAACGGGAGCCTTTTTTTTTTTACGTTTGTTTTTTTCTGTACTTGATCTGTGAAGCTACACTTCAGCCTCTGCTTCACCTTCATATCATTTGCATATAGATGAGGCTATCTCCATATTATTGCTCAGGGGTTATATTAATAACAGGGTTGTTGAACAGAACGCCACGCTGTATAGAAAAACGAATGCATTTCCTGTAGGAAGCCAGAGGAACACAGTGTCTGTGACACGGTGACTGCTTCACCAAAGGGGCATTTCAATAAAACTTCTTGAAAGTTGAACCCCCTTCTAAAAGGGTGAAATAGTATCTCCTACTGTATTTTCTTTACTGTCTCTACTGTTCATTTCCCTCGACTGCAGGGGTGTCATAATCAATTATAACACAATTACCTAGAAACGTCAATAGCAATGTTTTCCCCCCTGTTGTTTTCATGCAAAGTACTTATATATTTAAGACCAATCTCCATATTTTATGAAACATAATTTTACAAAACATTCCCTAAAAATTGAGTATTTGTGTATATATTTTATTTTTTCAAAATTCATCAAAAGGGCCAAATTGAACCCCCAGGCGGGCCGGTCTTGGCCCACGGGCCGTATGTTTGACAGTACAGTTCCACTGCCTACAAAACAAAAAATTAATTAGAAAATTAGCATTTTTTTTTAATTTAACAAATTACAACAAAGATCTTTGATTTTTTTTTTTTTTTCAATAAATATGTTCAAAATAAGATATTTCTTCTTGGTACTCATCCCTGGGTGGTTTAATTGAGCTTGCATATTTAATTTCGATTAATTGAATACATCGAATACACTAAAAAAAAAAAAAAAAAAGCAAAAAATTAGTTTTTCATATTATGTTGAAAAACGCTAATGATGCCGCGACCGAAAAACAGAAATCCAGAAGACAGTGGCTGTTATGAAGCATTTTAACCTGTTCTGTTCTATTCTATATCCTGTCGACGTCCCCCTCCGGTGTGTCGTCATGGTCGGAGCAGCCGGTGATTGGTCGAGGGCGGGTGAGTGAGGGAGGTAATGAGTGTCTCGCAGCAGCAGCAGCAGCCGCGGCGTCGCAGCATCTCGTAAAGGAAGGAGACTGTCCGGGCTTTTGTTTTGTGGCCGTGAATGAGAGCCAACGTCTCCTCCTTCTCTTTCTCCTTCCCGAAATGTGCGTGGATTTAATGAGGACGTGGCTACTCCTTCATCTGGTCATCCTCCGGCTTCATTCATCAGGAGGTGAGTGCGACGAGCGACGATGTCTTGTTTGTGCACGGGTCTGAGAGTGTGTAAATATGAATGAGGGGGAGCTGCACGGCTGTCGTGTGTGTCTGTGTATTTGAAAGAGAGAGAGATAGAGAGAGATTAAAAGTAAACCATAATCACTTTAGTTTTCAGCAATTGTTCATTTCTCCATCAAATATATAGGAATGTTTTTTTTTTGTTTTTTTTTAAAATCAGCAACCTAAAAGTCCAAGTCTTCCATGTGTGTTCCTCGGTTCAGCCTCCATCCATATACTGCAACATCATCATCATCCCTAGCATCAACATGAGCAGCAGCAGTAGAGGCACTGGTAGCCCACAGACACACACACACACACACAAATCTTCAGAGAATATTCTTCTAGATGCTGAATATCCTCTGCTGCTGATTCATTAGACACGTATCTAAACAAACAGAGGAGAGGGAGGAGAATAAAAAAGCTAGGTCCATGATGCTTCGAGGAGCTCAGCTAATTGACGTGAATGGCTGCTGCATATTAATAAGGCATTCATTTGCAAATGTTTGAACCGGTGGTGTTAATTCTCCTCTCCATGCATCCATCTGGGCGATGTTTTTTCTTTTCTTTTCTTTTTTTAATGCATCCATCTGGGCTATGTTTTTTTTTTTTTTTTCTTTTTTAATTAATTCTCTTCTGCTTCCAGCAACGGATGAGTGTGAGGATGGACAGTTTCAGTGCAACAACAAAAGGTGTATTCCGACCCTGTGGAGGTGTGACGATGACGACGACTGTTCAGACAACAGTGATGAGGAAAACTGCCGTAAGTGTTGAGTAGGATGGAGAAATTGATGAAAGGACACGTCAATATTAAATGGAGGGGGGAAAGAAAAAAAAAAGGCATCGATGCAGAAACATCGGATGTTCGTTGTCTGATATTAAAGTGCTGACTTGGATTTATTTAAATAGGGACTCAAACGGAGCTGCTTCTCTGGAACTGATCTGTTTCATTGTAGTTCACTGTAAATCACTTGAGTTGACGTCGTGTTCATTGGATTCAGGTTTGGTCGTGTTTCTTACATACGTGGTTTCGAAATTTAGGAACGCCCGCTGGGGCCTTCTGTTGGTTACCTTGGAATCGGACATTAGTGCTTGGATCACAGACTGTGCTACAGAGCAGTGTGTGTAAATTGGAATGAGAATTGAGGTTTGAGTGAGCAGATGTAAACAGAAGGTTTGAGCAGTCCAGCAGGCCGTAAATACATCCGTTTAAGAGTCGGATCCTTGTTAGCAAGCGTTGGCAAGTTGTTGCTACTTCATTACGCTGCTTTAGTAGACAACTGAAAAAGTTTGGAGATGTCACAGACACGTACTGTATGCCATGATACCAGAAGTAGCCTTGTCTCCGACCTCTCAAAAAACAGCCGTCGCTACAGTGCGGCGGGTGATTAAATTCCGTCTTTCCTCCCCCTTTTTTATGACGGTGTCGTTTGACCTTCAGCTTCAACATCAATGAACCATCATTAAGGATGACTTTGAGCCAAAGTTACGATGAGTTTGGCTTTCAGACCCGCAGCACCTCTCAGCAATAACCTGACCCGAATACTAATTACACTGTGGGAATTTATTGGATTATATTTATGTTAAATGACATTTGATGATTGGAGGCAAGAAGCACGCTGTTAGCATGTCAGCCGCTGGTGGTTCGACGCCCAACCCAGACCTGGATTTCTCCCACCAGGAATAATGCCATTCCTTTCTTCCTATCTGAGAGTGAGCCAGTAACCTAGATTGCTAGGGGAAAAAAAACCGAACAGACATGCTGGAACATCAGTGAAGCCAAGCGCTACATGTTTGCTGTGCATGTTGTCTAGCGTCTGGGCTAATTCTGGCAGGGATTCCTCCACCTCCCACACACCTATGCTTTTCTCCTTCTCTACACTTATCTTCGTTACCTTCTAAATAAGCCCTTTGAGATTCCTCGGCTGGTGTGTTTACATGCACAATTGCTGGAGGTGATGCCTTGGACGGTCAGTGTTTTTTTTTTGCACCTTCTTACCTGTTATGTCTTGGTATTTTTTTGAGGTCTTTTTTCCCGATTGGGTTTGTTGACTTGAGTGAGGAGTGGGTTCTTATTACACAGGCACAAAGGCGTTAACGTTGTGATAGCATAGTTACATGTTGAAATGATGTGTTTTGGGTGTTTTATTTCTAGTATTCTAGAGTCTGATTTGAATCTGGCTACATACTGGTTTTGTTGTCATACAATGTCTGTCCAGCAGGATAGTGTAACGCTCTCTTCTGGTCAGTGGTCACATGACATGAATGGATCAGTTCAATAGT